AGGTGTGTTGAAGTCTCCCATGATTATTGTATGGTGGTCTATTAGACTCTTGAACTTGAGAAGAGTTTGTTTGATGAACATAGCTGCACCATTGTTTGGGGCATATATATTTATGATTGTTATGTCTTGTTGGTGTATGATTCCCTTGAGCAGTATGTAGTGTCCCTCTTTATCCCTTTTGATTAACTTTGGCTTGAAATCTATTTTATTTGATATGAGTATGGACACTCCTGCTTGTTTCCGAAGTCCATATGAGTGATATGATTTTTCCCAACCTTTCACCTTCAGCCTATGTATGTCTTTTCCTATCAAATGTATCTCCTGTAGGCAGCATATTGTTGGGTCTTGTTTTGTGATCCATTCTATTAGCCTGTGTCTCTTAATTGGTGAGTTTAAGCCATTAACATTTAGGGTTATTATTGAGATATGGGTTGTTCTTCCAGCCATATTTGTTTATTTATGTTACTAAACATGGTTTGTTTTCCTCTTTGATTATTTTCCCCCATTTACTGTCCTACCTCCCACTGTTGGTTTTCATTGTTATTTTCCATTTCCTCTTCCTGTAATGTTTTGCTGAGGATGTTTAGAAGAGATGGTTTTCTAGCTGCAAATTCTTTTAACTTTTGTTTATCGTGGAAGGTTTTAATTTCACCTTCCATCCTGAAGCTTAATTTCGCTGGATACACAATTCTTGGTTGGAACCCATTTTCTTTCAGTGTTTGAAATATGTTATTCCAGGATCTTCTAGCTTTCAGAGTCTGTGTTGAAAGATCAGCTGTTATCCTGATTGGTTTACCCCTAAATGTAATCTGCTTCCTTTCTCTTGTAGCTTTTAAAATTCTCTCCTTATTCTGTATGTTGGGCATCTTCATTATAATGTGTCTAGGTGTGGATCTCATGATTTTGCACATTCGGCGTCCTGTAGGCTTCTAGGATTTGGGATTCTGTCTCATTCTTCAAGTCTGGGAAGTTTTCTCGTATTATTTCATTGAATAGATTGCTCATTCCTTTGGTTTGAAACTCTGTCCCTTCCTGTATCCCAATGACTCTTAAATTTGGTCTCTTGATTTTATCCCATATTTCTTGGATGTTCTGCTCATGGTTTCTTAACAGTCTTGCTGAGCTGTCTATGTTCTTTTCAAGTTGAAATACTTTATCTTCATTGTCTGATGTTCTATCTTCTAAGTGTTGTACTCTGCTGGTAGTATTCTCAATTGAGTTTTTAAGTTGGTTTATTGCTTCCTGCATTTCTAGGATTTCTGTTTGTTTGTTTTTTATAACCTGTATCTCCCTGTATAGTTGATCTTTTGCTTCTTGGATTTGTTTATGTAATTCATTGTTGAAGTGATCTTTCATTGTCTGATTTTCCTGTCTGATGTCTTCCTTGAGACTCCAGATCATCTGAAGCATGTATATCCTGAATTCTTTATCTGACATTCCATCTGCTGTAGCTATTACCTCTTCTAAAGTTGAGTTGACCTGCATTGCTTGTGGTCCTTTCTTTCCTTGTCTTTTCATACTGCTCGCGTTTCTTTCTGCTTGGTGAAACTGTTGTGTTTTTGAAATTTTCCCCCTATATATCTATATTGCTCTTGTATAGTTGCAAAGTCTCCCTTGCAGGGGCGGGCGGCTGCTGTGCTCCTCCTCCAATTGGGGTGATCTGTCTACCACGCTGACGGGCCGCTGCGTCTCTTCTGCCAGTCGGTCGCAAGTCTGCCTACTTTGCAGGCACGGGCGGCGGCTCTGTTCTGCCCCTCCTCCAATTGGTGTGACGTGTCTATCACGCCCGCGGACCCCTGGGCCTGCTCTGCTGGTCTGTCATAGGTCTGCCTACCTTGCAGGTGCGGGCGGCAGCTCTGCTCTGCCCCTACTCCAATTGGCGTGACATGACTACCACGCCGGCGGGTCGCCGGGCCTGTTCTGGGCGCAGGCGGCAGCTCTGCTCTGCCCCTACTCCAATTGGGGTGACGTGTCTACCATGCCGGCAGGCTTCTGGGCCTGTTCCGCCGGTCGGTCACAGGTCTGCCTACCTTGCGGGCGTGGGTGGCGGCTCTGCTCTGCCCCTACTCCAATTAGGGTGTCGTGACTACCACGCCGGCAGGTCGCTGGGCCTGTTCCGGGCGTGGGTGGTGGCTCTGCTCCGCCCCTACTCCAATTGGGGTGACGTGTGTACCACGCCGGCAGGCCGCTGGGCCTATTCCGCCGGTTGGTCGCAGGTCTGCCTACCTTGCGGGCGCGGGTGGCGGCTCTGCTCTGCCCCTACTCCAATTGGGGTGTCGTGACTACCACGCCGGCAGGTCGCTGGGCCTGTTCCGGGCGCGGGTGGCGGCTCTGCTCTGCCCCTACTCCAATTGGGGTGACGTGACTACTGCGCCGGCGGGCCGCTGGGCCTGTTCCGGGCGCGGGCGAAGGCTCTGCTCTGCCCCTACTCCAATTGGGGTGACGTGTGTACCACGCTGGCAGGCCACTGGGCCTGATCCGCCGGTCGGTCGCAGGTCTGCCTACCTTGCAGGCGCAGGCAGCAGCTTTGCTCTTCCCCTCCTACCACGCCCGCGGACCACTGGGCCTGTCCCGCCGGTCGGCTGCAGGTCTGCCTACCTTGCGGGCGCGGGTGCTGGCTCTGCTCTGCCCCTACTCCAATTGGGGTGACGTGACTACCGCGCCGGCGGGCCGCTGGGCCTGTTCCGGGCGCAGGCGGCGGCTCTGCTCTGCCCCTCTGGCTTGATGACAAAGTGAGAGAGACTCGGGTGTTTGTGACTCACTTTCTTTACCAGGAGACCAACTGTTTCTGTCGCCGCTGGTATCGATGAAGTTCTCTCCTCCGCCGCTTTCTGATGACATCATATCTCTGCCATGTTGGTATCCCATGCGAATGGCAGCACCTCGTTCCCTTTGCCGGGTGACCAAAGCAACGGGTGAATCCTGACAGGCCCTCACAAGCCCCGTCTCAATCCTGTTGCCACTGCCTATGAAGGCTCGGTTGGTATTTACCTCCACAGTATTCAGCAGGATCCAGACCGAGAAGCAGTTTCCGCGGGTTCTTTAGCCCTGGGCCAGAGCAATTCCGGGAGCCGGAATTCGGCCTCTCCGGGCTCGGTGTATGTTCTGATAGGAGCAGGCTCCAAGAAGCAGTTTCCGCAGGTTCTTTAGCACTGAGCCTGAGTAATTTGTCTGTGAGACGCAGGCGAATGGCAGCCTGAAATTACCTGTTCTATGGCTGAATGAGCTGTGATCAGTCGAAAACAGGGATGGTGATGTCAGCTCTCCAAGATGGTGGCCGCTGGCTTCCTCTGTGGTCTGACCGGTGTGGATAACCGAATTGGACCGCTTCCTTCCCCCGTCTCAAACCCAGAATTCAGCCCCGAGCACGGTGATTGCACAGCTGGCATAAGCCCGCAGAATCCGCAGCGCTGTTTCTTTGCGTTGCTATCTCGTCGTTTCCCAGCGCACGCCGCAGACTCTAGCCACAGGGCGATTTGCTGAATAAGCAGCGTGACCCTCCGTGTGGACAAATCTCTCGCGTTTGAGCCCACGTAGCTGGTCCTCGTGCGATGGAAATCCTTCCTCTAGGTTTTGGAGCACCCCAATTTTGCTGGAAATTCCTAACAAGATAGCTTTTAGCAGTTCTAACTCGTCATTCTCCCGCACAGTGACGCGGTACACGGGGCTGATGCACTCCCTTCGCCGCCATCTTCCCAAACAGAAAATCTTGAAGGAATTAATAAACCAAATTAAAAATTCAAAGGAAACCATCAGCAATAAATTAGACCACTTTGAATATACATTTTCAGGCCTTGAAGACAAACTATTCTTTAAAATGAAGTAGGTCATAGAGAAAAGATGTTGATATTATGAACAGAATATTCAAGAAATCTAGGATAACATTAAAAGGCTAAATCTAAGATTCCCTGGGATAGATGAAGGCTCTGATATATAAACTAAAGGAATGCAAAATCTTTTCAATGACATAATATCAGAAAATTTCCAAACTTTAAGAATGAAATGGAAAATCAAATATGGGAGGCATATAGGACTCTAAATATACAAAACCACAACAGATCCACTCCAAGACACATAATTATGACACATTATTATGAAACAAGTCCACTCTAAGACACATTATTATAAAATGTCTCTGGAGGACAATTTGATAAAATCTATTAAAATTAAAAATGTGCAAACCCAGGGAACTTGTTTCTGGGAATATCCCCTAGGCAAATGTGTATGTATTTCTAATTATACACACACATATAAAAACTAATAAACCAAGACAATGAATAACTACAGAAAAACTGAATAAATTAATAGAAAAGAAAACATTGTTCAGCAGTGGGTAATATGTATATAGTTAAAAAAATTCTGTAAAATACTGGCTATTTAGCTCAAGTCATAGTATAATCTAGCCATACAGAGGATGAGTAGAAAGGAAAAAAGTGCATTGCATATCCTCATTTCAATTTAATTACTTAATATCTAAAACTGAAAAATCAAGAAGCAACATAAGTATGGTACTGAGATGTATGAAGGGGAATAACAAAATAAAATTGTTGAAAAATGATTGTATTTAGAAGTAGTAGTTGGCAAAAGGCAGGTAATTGTTTTCAATGAGACTAATTTGCAAAACTATTTTGTTTTTAAGACTATACACATATATAAGTTGGAGAAACATAAAATTAAATAATAAAAAAATGGATAGGAGCAATAACATTTATGTTAAGACCAAGCCTGATTTTTTTAGGCTAGAAATTTCTCTTAGATAAAGTATTTTACCAAAAGCTAATTTGCACACAGCTTGGTGATCAATATTTTGAGAAAAAAAAGTGATTTGAATAATGCTAAAAGTTGAGTATCTTTATTGTAAACTAGTATTTCTTAATTAGTATTATAAATATCTTCAGAAAAGATGAGAAATTATTAATTTGTTAGAAATAATGAAAACAAGACCATTCTTTTTCTCTATATGGTAGCTATGCTTTATTCTGTGACGTCTAGAAACTTACCTGAACAGAATAGCATCATCTGTTAGAAATTTTGGCAAGTTGGAGTCTCGTAAAGCTCTTATCAAAACCACATCTTCGCTTAGGTCTGGGTTCTCTCTTTTTAAAGACCTAAATTCAAGGAAATATTTCAGACTATGTTCCAAAAACATGAGATGGAATGTGATTTTCCGGAATTATGGGCCAGGGCTTCTGCTTGTAGAAAGCTGCAGGATGATTCCCATTCTATTTCCAAAATGTATCCATCTCTATTACATCACATGTTAAGTCCTGCACTGGATACATAGTCTTGAGGAGAATGAGAAGAACATCTTCTCAAATGCCCTTCCCCATTAACCCAGACTTTTATCCAACTTTAGCTTATAGTTCCTTGAATGCATCACCTTGACTCTCATCTTGTTACTTTTTTTCCTGAATGCCCAGAATGCCCTGCTTTGCTCTTTTGTCCACTTGAACTTACCTTTCAAAACCTAGCCCACTTACTCTATTCTCTAGAAAGTCTTCTATCTTCCATCACACTCTTGTGAACCACTGGCACAGCCCAATTTTGCCCTACCACATTGTATAGATGACTGAATATTTGTCAGTTTTGTCCACTGAACTTTTTGTTCAGTGTATTTGAACTCTTAGTTCCCTAGTCCCTTATTGGCAATCCTGTAAAGAGGATATGTACTGAATCTAGGAGGATAAAAGAAAGAATGGAGTCTAGAAAGGGCAAAAGAGATTTGTGCAAAGCTACAGGATCACACACAACAGGGGCCCTGGACGTTCTGAGCCTGAGTCAGTGAGTCATTCCTGAGAGGAAGGACTAGAAAGACTAGAGTCTCCAAAAGACTCCAGGCAAGTTGGGGATTCCAGATATTGTCATTTCAGGTAGTTATAAAGAGAAAACTTAGGGTTTGAAAATTCCTCATTTTCTTGCCTTGCTAGAAACTAGAATGTAGTCCAATCTTGGATTGCACTGCAAAAACAGAGATAGAATGTATGGCATAAACCTGAACTGAAAATAGGATGACAAAATTTCTTTCAACTCTTGGGGATTTTTAAGGCAACACGTATAAATCACCTTAGCATATATGCATATCAAACTATGTGCTTTTTAAGTCTTGTCATCCTGTCTGATGATATCAAAGGCTTTTGTACACTAAAACCCAATATATGCTATGACTTTAGGGAAAATGAAACTTAGCTGATGCTGGGAGCCATTAGCCAAGTGGGTATGACAATTTCCTTGCCAGCGTACCCCATGTTGCAGTGACATTGAATGTAGGTGACCTTGCTCAAGGACCAAGGCGGCTTAGGGCGTTCCCGGTTTAGGTTCCAGGTTTAAGGTTTAAGATTATTCCTGCTGGGAATAGGGCTTATCCTCTGCCTGAGTTCCCCTTGAGTTCTCACGGGATTCAGACAGTATTTTTTGGAAGACAGATGCCCAGTGGAGGTGGATTTGGGCAGAGAACGTGGATTTCCCCAGAACGTGATTGTAGACGGCTGGTGTGAGTTTGGGAATAAAGAGTTGCTGTTTGAATCTTCAAGCTGTGTGGTGGCTCGTGATTATGTGCCCAGCCAGACTGCGGCAAGCTGAAGCCTAGTTGGATTCAGGAGAGCAACCATATTGGCACTCAGTGAAGATCTGTCACATATCATGGGAGAGTCACAGGAAGAATGCTGCAAAAGCAGCCAGTAACATTTATTAGTCACTTGCTATGGATTAAGTGTTGCTGTAAGAGCCTCCTGTGAGTGACCCACTTAATGCATTTGATTACAGAGTTTGGAAGTTTCACTCTCAATTAATTTGGTTTCTTACCCAGCCATGACCAATACAGACTTCACAGCTCTCATGCCAAAATCATAGTGATCCTGTTGAGAGAGCTGTTCACTGCAAAGCTTATACATCTGGGTCATTTTTCTTGCTAATGTTTTACTGGATTCAAATCCTTCAGAATATAGGATTACCTAGAACAGAAAAATTTAACACAATACTTCTTATATTGTATTGATGACAATATATTAGTATGATACCAATATATTAAAAATCAACTTCTTGACTTCATGCCTTTTAATGTTTTTATATTATTTAATAAAGACATGTGAAGAGTGAAGGGAAAAGAATTTTCAGGGCCACAATAAGGGGTCAGGTAGAATATTATAGGTAATAGCAGGAAATTGATTTTCTTTCTCTGTATAAATGAAGATGTGGGCTTGGTGACTTTTAGTTCAAGGAATAGCAGAGTTCAATTTTTGGAAATGTACAAATAGAGGTTGGATGGTATCGTAACTCCTGAGTACAAAATCAAGAATTGGACTTCTCTAATCTGACAAAAAGGCCACCTTGGTGGAGAGTACCAGTGATGGCCACTTGCTCTCTTTAGGTTCCCTGGGAATCAAGGGAAGCTACATAAAGATTTGTAGCTTCTCCGTATAAGACTACCTTGCTCCTGAAAAATTTCTGCATCCTTGGTTAAATTAGTTGAATAAAGCCTGACATCTTTGACAGTGGAGGTAGAAATGGACCCTTCCTTTTACCCATAATCTGCCCTAACCACTGCAGAATTTGAAGGATGAATAGATGTCTTAAAAGGTCTGTTTTGTTTACTGCTTTTAATTACTGATTTGCAGTGTTTTGCACACAGGTGATAAAAATGTTTATTGATGACAGACTCTGACTATTCTCAATCTGTAACAAGAGGAGTAACATTCAGAAGATGAGATTTTTAAATTTGCCCCCTCAATACTGACTAACAGCAATAGTACAAAATATGAGATGAAAAAAATATATTGCACTGGGCTTTAAACCCAGTTTAGTTTCTACCAGGTGGGACAATGAGCAAGAAATAATCATCCATGTCCACAGAGAGAATCATAGTGAAGCCAACACCCATCTTAACTGCTTTCCCCACCCCACCATGCCTACAAAAGTTATTGAGGATACTGAGCTTTTGAGCTGTAATTCTTGCAATGACAGGACTTGGCATGGTCTATTCTGATGTTAATCAATTACCTTAACTTTATAGAGAATATTTAAAATTATCTGTTATCAAAGGAATTTATTAGCTATAGGAATAATCTGTGTTTTCTAAGAAATTCCATTCTTAAAAGGGTGGTGTCTCGTTATGAAAAGCAGTGCTGAACATAAGGGGCCTCCTGGAGTCTGACAATATTTTGGTCTTGGTGGTCAGACAGATGAATACATGTGTAAGAATTCACTGAGTTTTACCCTTGTGAGCCTGTGCCCTTTATTGCATACAGACCGTACCTTAATCTAAGTTCCTTGAAAAATAAATATGATACTTAAGAACATTTATTCTTAGCTAGTATTAAGGAATAAATACCATTGAAATTAGAAATAAAATATGTCTTGTTAGATAAAGGTAGAACAAACAATATCACAATTAATTTATTAGTGATTACTGTTTTCTTACTAATTATTATAGACTGACAAACCAATCCTTCCATCATATTGATTAATATAGTTTCTACTCAGCATTCCTTGATTCTAACAACAACAAAAAATGCATAAAGGGAAGTGAGAATAATATAGTATTTCAAGAACCAATACTTACATTTTAATTTCTAGAGATGAACTGATAAAACCACAAATGAACTGGTTAATGAAACTCATGGATTTATTCCAGTTTTAAGGGCCTACTATAATTGCAGCAAAAAACAACTACCAAAACCAAACATGCAGAATAAACATTCTATGTGATAACAATCATATCTACAATAAAAGAAATCACGTTGAAAATGTTGCTTCTTAATAATAAAAAAAAATAGAAAGCTTACCTCTGCAATCAAAGCATAATTTGGAACCATCATTGCCATTGGTCTAAATAGAGCCTTCAAATTATCTGGCAACTCGGTTCTGCCAGCATATCCAGGATTCATTGTGATGAAGGCTGCACAAGTCATAACCAACTTTATTTCTCTTCCCTCAAACATGAATCTAGAGAGCTATTTAAAAAGAAAGTATAAATTAACCCTTCTCCGGGCATTTGTAAATTCTCACATAATAACTGAGCATGAAACATTCAAGCAAAGACTACTGAATCCTGTTGTTGGGACAACAGGGAGCATTTCTCTTCTGATTCTATTCTACCTACTTCCAATCTCTGGGTTCAGTGTTTCATATTCTCTGCTTCCCTGCCCCTTCCTTGACCAATATTTCTCTTCTTTCCTGGTCCAATCCTGAAATCTTCTAGGCCTCAATATCTTTTGCTTAGACTCTTCAGTTCAACTGTCACTAAACGTTCTCCACTCCCACTTTCTGGTTTTTTCCAAGAAATTCTAATCTATTCTTAATCTTTGGTGCCTTTTCACTTTCATTCAACAGCAGAGGCTTGTTAAGCACTTATTGTGGATGAGGCTCTAAGTTAGCCATGGAGGCACAGAGCTGAAGGAAACTTGACTCTTGAGAAGCTCTAGGTTTGTTGTGTGCCCTCAGACTTAGACAGTATGACAACATGGTGCTAAAAATATTATAGTGGAGGTATGAGCAAAGCCTCCCTTGGGAGAGGCAGTTTGCTTGAGACCTGAACAATTAAGAAGGACATTTCAGCTACATAAGCAGGAGCAGCCTTTCCTGGCAAAATGAGCAGGAGGAAGAAAGAGCCCTGCATGTTCCAGGAATGACCAGCAATCTACTTTGCTACAAAGTAAAAGTATAGCTAGGTTGGGGCCTGGGCATTTAGAGTCTTGCACACTAAACTGCAGAATTTAGTTTTAGTCCCCTGGTTGAGGGGAAACAGAGGATTCTTGTAAGCAGAGTGATAGGAACAAAGATGGTAGTGGAGAGGTTGGACAAACTACAGACAGGGAGGCTATTAAAGAACTGTCACTAGCAAGAAGATGAAAGCCAGAATTTGAGAGGTGTTAAGTGGGGATGAGAGGCACCTAGTAGGTATAATTAATATAATTTGGTGACATTTTAGATTCTGGGTTGATAACAGACAGAGGCAAATTCAGGGTTTCTAGTTGGGCCACTGTATGAAGGTGCTATAACAAACACGAGGAATAAGGGAAAGACCAGGGCAGAGCTAGGGCAATGTGTCGTTGCTAGATGAGGCCAATTCTCCTGATGTTAAAAGACTAAATGTGCTGTTCAAATCCTCCATCTCTGTGCTTTATTTCTTCTATACCAGGGGATGCACCCCACTCCAAGTATTTCATCTGGCCACTAGAAATTGAGGATAAGGTTGGTTAATCTCAGAGTCCTCCTACTTTCCCTAACCCTCACATGGTAGCTCTTGAACTGGCAGTGCTTCTATTTTCTCTGGTCTTTGCTCCCCATCCTCCTCCAGCTTTGTTTTCAGTTATTCAGCAGGATGATAATGATTTACTGGTTATATCTGAAAGTCCTTGTCTTTAATATAGACATCCCCAGAGTATGTCGCAAGGAAGAGGGTGGGTAGATGAAGGAGTTCAGACTTCAGGGTCACATAGATTTAGGTGTGTATCTTAGTATTATGATGTCTACTAAATATTTTTTAACTTTTAATCCTTCTTACCTATAACTTTGAGAAAGTACCATATACTACACAAAAGTTTGGTGTAAAGATGAGATAAATGTAAAGTATACCACAATGACTTTTTATCAGTTATTAAAGTCTAATTCCTCATTTCTTTTCTTCTTATTTGTTCTATAATTTGTTTCTTTATAGAGACAATAACCAAAAACTTAACAACTCTTTATCAGGGCCCCTTTTGATATGAGTGGTTCCTGTTCCAGAGGGGGAGTTGAAATGTCCCCTGCTCTGTCAGGTAAAACCTTACTTATAGAGCTTGAGGACATCTGAGGCTTTATTGACATGGGGCCTAGGGAATAGTGGGGGACCCTTGAGGGGCTTGGAGGGATTTTGGTTTGTATGGGCTGTGCGTCACTGCTGCCTTTCAGTGACTAAAGCTCAGAAGGTCAATACAGAGCATTAGGAGTCTTGGTCTCATCTTTCATTGCAATCAGCTTCCATTACAATATCCCCTTCTTCAAAACATATTCATATGTGGCTGAAACAAACTTTAAATAACAAGACTACTACAAACATTCATTTGACCCTATACTCCTTAGATTTTCTAGTCCAGTGAGCTCTGGAGAGCCAAGGTCCTCTTGGATTTCCTAGGATTTCTACCCATTTTTTCCACCAGCAGTAAGCTAAGCCTGGGGGCTATAATGAAGACAGTGAAGTTCATAAGAGGCAATCTTAGAGAAACAGAAACAAGAAGGGCAGGGAGCCGGCTTAGTGGTACATGCCTGTAATCCCACCGGCTTGGTAGGTTGAGGCAGGAGGATCTTGAGTTCAAAGCCAGCCTTGGCAAAAAGCAAAGTGCTAAGCAACTCAGCTAGACCCTGTCTCTAAATTAAAAATACAAAATAGGGCTGGAGATGTGGCTCAGTGGTTGAGTGCCCCTGAATTCAATCCCCAGTATGCCCCTCCCCGCAAAAAAGGAAGTGAAAGGAGAGAAAAAGGAAGTGGAGAGCAGAGGAACAGGGTGTGAATATGTGAGGAAGAGCTTCACAGGTTCTTAAAGACTCTAAGACATGGAAGACACAAATCTGAAGACTTTAAAAAAAAACCCTAGAAAATTTTATTTATGTAAGCTTTTGTTATTTTTCAAAGGCACTCTAGGAGGTTGACAGCATGAGACTACTTTGGAACTGAATCTCATAGTTTCTGTATCGTCACAGCACTGATTTTTCTCTGTGTTGCTTGGATGCAGAATTAATTCATCCAATTAAGTCCTGTTGCTGTAGCATTCATCAATTAAACCAGAAATATGAACTAGATAGGCTAAATCTAGAATTTTCTTTCCTCAAATACAACAAGCTGTGTGTTAGCTACTAACTTAAGATAGAGAATTGACCAATCCTTACTTTTGCGGCTTTGGCATTCCTAATGGTGATGAGTTGCTGTGCAATCACTGACAAAACTTCTATGTCTATTCGATTAAATTCATCGAAGCAGCACCAGGCTCCTGACTGGGCCAAACCACTAAAGAAGCGCCCCATCATCTGAAATCAAAATAAAGTCATTCACCTTTGAATTACACAGTTTAATTCCTTCAAAAGCTAAATTTTGAGCTGAAGTATTAAACAGAAGAGGTGTTATCTACAAATAAGCAATGGTTTTAAGTAAATAGTGCACTGTCAGATGTAAGAAGTTTTCTACAAGAAATCTTTTTGCCTCTCTCCAAGCTTTGAATCTAATTTTTACTTTTAAATAACAAAATAATCTGACCAATTTTCTTTCTTTTTTAAAATAATCCTACTCATCTCCACAAATACTTGACAGGTTCTCAAGACTCTAAGACATGGAAGACACAAATTTAACGACTTAAAAAAACCCTTAGAAAATTTTATTAATGTAAGCTTTTGTTATTTTTCAAAGGTACTCTAGTGGTTGACAGCACATGACTACTACTGAGCAGAAGGCATAACTGCACAGGTTAAAGTACAGGTTCTTGCTTTTTTCTATAGCAGAATCCTCATGACAGAAGAAAATGAGTATGTACTGCTGCTATCTAAAGTGTACAATTTCTTTGGAGACTTGAATTTTGGATTGATACATGTTGCACTATCCATCTCTTTAAAAACAGAGCTAATGGGTTTTCTGTCTCTTAGGTGTTCAACTGAGCATGCATTACCTCACCTTATTCTAATTCTCATAAATTGTATAAAGACAGGTGGATATGTGTGTATCTCTCTACATTTCTGTGTCTATACTTGTATTAGGTTTGACAGAAACATAACAGAAAGGGAAACTGGTAGTATGAAGAGAGTTTTGAAAAAATTATTGGAAGATGGAAAATACATGGAAACAGATTGCCTAATTGAGAAGGGAAAATTGCAGACCCAAGGCAGAGAGGGAGGAGAACTGCCCTTTAGTGGTACCTACAAGAAACTCCAAACCCAACATCAGTACATGTAAGGAAATCAGGAACAGGCTTTAGGGCAATCTTTGGAAATCAGCCAAAGATCAGCACTTGGAAAAATCAGGTTTTTGGGTCCTTTATCTCTCTGTAACAGGACTCTTGAGATTTCAGTACTGACTTTCTTTTACCAAGCTAAAACTCAAGTAATGCCTTCTCTAGAAAAGAGATCTGCTTTGGGGAGTTATTGGGAGAAGACATTAGCTAGAGAGATAAAGGAAGAAGAGACAGGAAAGAAAGATAAATCCAAATTTCTATTTTAGTTATTGAAATTCAAAGATAATAAAGAAAAGACAGCTCCATCCAAGGGTAAACTCCATTGAAATATACCTCTTTGAAAGAAAAATTTTTATTTGACACTTAATAGGGGCTTCCTGATATTTGGCTTCTCCATAGGACTGCTGTGACAATTTGCATAAACTGGGGAAGCATGCTGTCCACACATCCTATACTTCTACAATACTCACAATAGCTCCTTCATTCAGAGAAGGACATTTTGAGTAAACAAGCTACCCACACTAGTCCAATCCATACTTCTGAACTGAAAAGTGAAGAGCAACAGACAATTGAGAAAAATCAATATCAAGAAAAAGAAGGAATGAAAAGGATGAACTGAATGAGCAATGCTGGTAAAAATGGAGATAATTTATGGAACAGAACAGAATATTGAAAACTCACATGGCATCCTTGAGATCTGAGAGGAAACTGTACTTTAAAGCATAAAATCATATGCTCTAAAAACAAATTTGTCAAAGATTAGAAATAGTTCTTGAATATTAATAATACTATAGCCATGATAAAAAATTAAATGGAGAATTAAATGGGTGCACGGAATGGTAGAATGGATAGTACTAATGATCAAGTTGGTATTCTAGACAACAAAATTGAAGAACTCTTCTATAAGAGTGGGAGGCCACTCCAGAGCAATGGTCTTTGTATGTGAGATTATGCTTACTTCCTGGAGTACATAAAGATTTCTCAAGGAATATTTGTGAATGGACAGTTTTAAAGGAAGTAAAAAAGAAAATTCTAGATCTTTATCTTTGATATAGACTCTTTGCTATAATTTATCTCTTGAGAACATGGCGGTGGTCACACTGGTTCTTCATTTCTATATGTCCTCCACAAAAGATCCTCTTTCCTTCACTCCTGTTTGTATAGTTTGTGCCTAGGAGAGGAGGAAAGCGAGGTTTTGAAATTTAGCCTCCTTATGGCTGTATTCACTAAGTCAAGTGCCACATGTACAAAGACCCAATAGGTCCTAGTAGCTTCCATGCTCTCATTCATACTAAATCTTAATTCTGGTATACTTCTCCAGAATGTGAAAACCTCCAGCCTGTCAAGCAAAGGAAAAATTCCAAATACTAATTTTGAACAAAGGAACATTTCCACTGACTGACTGGGAAATAAACACTTTTGCAAGTCAGGCAGTTTCTAATTCTTCTCTTCCCATGTAAAGGACTCAGTGCTTATAAGTGAAAGCCAGAAACACACCTATAGTCAAACACAATTGGGCATATTATTTATTTCAACAAGTGAGATCACACATTATGGGGAACCTTGGAAACCATGAGGGAACTGTGGGTTGTCTTAGTAAAGGAGCCTTGGGAGGAGTTACAGGATTTGGGTTTACATTAGGAAATTTTGGGGAACATTTAATAATAAGAATTTTGGGCTGTATATTAGTTTTCTAGGACTGCTGTGACAATTTGCATAAACTGGGTGGTGAAAGCTACAGAAATCTATTCTTTTACAGTTCTGGGAGCTACATACTTGAACCCAAAGTATTGGCAAAGCCACATTCACTACAAAAGCTCAAGGGAAGACATTTCCTTGACTCTAGATTCTAGTACTTGCAGGTAATCTTTGGCATTCCTTGGCTTGCACTGCATCACTCTAATCTATGCCTCTGTGTACCTTCACATGGTGTTCCTCTCTCTGTGTGACCACTGTCACATTTGCCTCTTCTCATAAGGACACTAGTTCATCCAGTTCCAGTAGGATCCCATTTTAACTAGATTACCTCTGTGAAGATTTCTATCCCCAAATCAGGTAATGTTCACACATGCAAGGTGTTAGGCCTTGAACATCTTTTAGGAAGACACAAATCAATCCACACCACTCTGAATTAGGTGTGGAAAGCAGAAACAATTCTATAATGCATACCCTAATAATACTTGTCTATCAGGCTGAAGGACAGCCTGCCTGAAGCTGTCAGTGGTAATGATGTAGCAGTTACTCTGGTTGGCAGGGAGAAGGAGATGTTAAGCCCGAGGATTCATACGCATACTAAAGTTAGAAAGACACTGTTCTAAAAAGAAGCAGAGAGAGTAGAATAGAAATGAAAAAAAAAATCTATTAGCCCTGATACTTGGAATGCTTTCTTTGAATGGCCGAGGTTTCATGATGGTGTGTTGGCTCTTTTCTATGGGTTTAATATTCTGTTAAATTCCGTGATGAACTATATTCTTGATTGTGCTGTGCTAAGGGTTTACATTTTTATATTCAACCCCTAGACAAAACAAAGACAACATAACTATAGTTTTAAAATAGTATGTAAATTTCATCAGCCTTGGAAGTGAAAAGAAATGTGAAAGTGGAACAGAAAGTTGGCAGGTTGAACTGAACAAAGTCTTATTTAATGAACTGGCAGATCATGTTCACCACTAATGTATTGCAAATACAGAAATAAATTTATGTTTTAAAAGCAACTTTCAGAAGAAGTGAAAACAAATAAGTATTCCTGTAAGTCAAAAAGTTTTTTTCAGCAGTCTGCAAAATCCAGGTGTTCTTATAATAACACTAAGGTGTTATTTGCCTTTTCCAATCTTCTTCTCTCATCAGGGTACAGAGTAGAAAAGCATCACTGATATGGTTTCAGTTTTTACACTGTAAATTACCATTAAGAAACCATTCTTCATCAAGTTTTGATATAATTTCAAATAATATTGACAATTTACCTAAAGCATTATTAAAATATTTGTCTCTTTAAAGAATACATATCTATGTAAGGCTAGATTTTCTTAAAATATTACAAGCAAAATAACATACTGCAATAGTCTGAATGTAGATTGATTCTTCTTCCTTGTTCTCTTTTTCCACTTTTAACCATTCTTTGCCCTGCTTCATTTCCGTTATTTGACATAACCTCATTGTTTCCTTGTTTTGTTATGTTGTGTTGCAAATATTGAAAGCCACACAAAACACTTAACGTTAGAATTCAGATAAGGGAAATGTACCTTGTAGTCCAAACCATCAGAACAGTTAAAGACCACACACTGGATGGCAAGAGCTTTTGCTAGGTCTTTGGTGGTCTCTGTTTTTCCAGTGCCAGCAGGACCAGCTGGTGCACCTCCTAGGTCAAGCTGCAAAGCCCCCATGAGGCAAAGATAGCAGCGATCCTGAAGAAATTAATAAATTGTCATCATTGAAGGGAATTGACTTTAGCTACAAATTTATGTCATTTGCTTTCTATAGGAGGGCCACTGGTTCCCATGTAGGGTTTTATACAATTGAAGTATACTCAATGGTCCATGTACATAATTAAAGTATATAAATATCTGCTTTACAAAGATGTATCACAGCAAATTCCTTTAAAATTGTTAGATGAAACTTCTCATTGTTTTGACAAAAAAGCACTTGTATCAATATTAACCTAAGTGATCAGTCACTCACCGTGAGAGGAGTAATAACCAATCTTGGGCATGCTCCCAAATATTCATAGCCATAAGTGTACTGAGATAGTGCCATTCTAGCCACACAATTGTCTATGTCTACATCCCAATAATAGCGCAGTTGTCTCTGCCAGTCAAAGGATTCAACTTTGTCTACCTACATAAGTGATTATGGATGAAATATATATTAGACACAATAATTTCAGGAAGAAGTATGTGATCTTACTTTTAAATGAAACATTTACCTTCATGTTAACAAGCTCAGTGACTATATCTCTTGCATGCACATCAATAGTGATCAATGCAGTTATGATATTTCTGTGCAATTTAGGTAGACTGCCTCGAACTACTGTAGCCAGGGCATTTAATCTCTACAAATTAAAAAAAAAGTCATTGTCATAGTGAATTTTCAACATTAGCTTGCATACACATATTTTTACTACTAAAATTACACATTTCCTAAAATCATCTAGTTTTAAAAATTTATAGTTCTTTGACCAAACAATGCATTAACTCATTTAATTTCCATAAGACTTCTGTGAAGTATAAACTGTCTTTACTCCCATTTTACATTTGAGGAAACTGAAAGAGAGTAAAGCTACTTGATGACAGTCAAACAGTTATGAAGTAGCAAAATGAAACTTGAATAGACATTTGCTTCAAGGAAAGTGAGACCATACTCTTAACTACTATGATGTCTCGAAGGAAGACAGTTCTGTCTAAAAATTGGATGTAGTTAAAGGTAATGCTCTTCATATTCAGGGAGAGTTTTTTTTTTTTTTTTTTTTTATTGATAATCAGGACACCTAAGCATTTTAATCAGGCCAATGGATGATTAAAGAAAAACATTTTTTGAAAATTTTAGCTCCTGATTCTCACCTAAGTTGTTAAATTGTTTACAAAGAGTGGTGCCACTGAAGGTCTTGCCCAGCTGGTTTGAATTTTCACTCACAACCCTAATCAGATGCCACCACTACATAGAGGTTAATGGAGTTTTCTCTAGTGGGTCATTTCCCCTTCCTACAGCTCTGGAGATGAAATTTCACTGAGGACATTCATGAGAGTAATTTCTCTTATTTCAAGAAAGTTTTTCTCTCCTTTTTCTGTTTTAAGGGTGAATCTTAAAAACTGCAATATTGCTTGGAAATGTAATTGAATTTGGGTTAAAGATTAGGTCTAGGTTCTTGTAAGATATATAGTTTGCAAATGTTTTTTTCCTGTTATCTAGGTTGCCTTCTCACTCTGAAGTGTTTCCTTTGCCACAAAAAGCTCTTTTGTCTGTTTGTTGATGCCATCCCACTCGTTACCTATGCTTTTGTTATTGTGTCCAACAAATAAAGGCCAAGGCCCATGCCTTGAAGCTTTTTCCCTGTTTTCTACTTTGAGTTTGACAGTTTCAGGTCTTACATTTAAAACTTTAATCCACTATGAGTGGACTTAAAAGTTAGCATATTACAGTGATGCATTCATATCAATGTTCATAGTTCAATTCACAATAGCTGAACTATGGAACCAACCTAGATGCCCTTCCACAGATAAGTAGATAAAGAAATTGTGGTATATAAACATAATGGAATACTACTCAGTCTTAAAGAAGAATGAAGAAAAAATGTTTGGGTTCCAAGATGGTGAAGTTTCCAACTCCCCCTCTCCACAGCTGTGATGACTTGGTGACTACCCAACACTCATACTGGAGTGACTCCCAGTGAGTGGTAGGACGTTTTCCCTCACAGGGGCTCCCATTCATGAATTTAAGCTTCATGGAGCATGTGTCAGGATTTTAAACAGCAGTTTGTTGCAAGCCCAGCCCAGGACGTGGGGAAACCAGAGTTGCTCTTTGCCACGGATGCTGGCCAGCAGCGTGACGATGGAACCCCCCCGAAAGACGGGCGGACTTTGAGCACCGAGGATTTCTGGCAGCGCAGAGACACAGGGTTACTGATCCTTCAGGGCTGGTGTGGGCCAGACTGTGACCTACAACACTGCAGAGCACCAGACCAAGGACCGAATTCTGGACGTAGGGTAGGAACAGCCCAGTTCCCTCCACCTCTCTGGACACCCTGCCGTGGAAACGGGTGCTTGCCATCTTGGAAAATCTACCTCATCAACTTTTGGCGGGTGTAGCTGACAGCACGATGGGCATCTGAACAGTGTGTGTGATTTGCAGCCCCCCCCTCTACGCAGCTGTGATAACTCAAACCTTTCTCACCAGCTCTCCGTGGGAATATGACAGAACAGGTTGCCGGTTTCCAACTCCCCCTCTCCACAGCTGTGATGACTTGGTGACTACCCAACACAGAGATAGCGCTCAGTTGATCAGAAGCACGGGGCAGCCAGGGGCCACCCACCCCGAGTGAACCCAGGGCTGTGGACAAGAGACCCATCAATTGGGGCCTGGTGGGCAGGAGAGGGGAGGTGGATAGAGATTGGAAGCTACCCAAAGAGACCAGGATTGGAGAGGCACCCAGCAGGTGAGAGAGAGCTGCTTCACACAGATTGCTTCCACCACCCTAAGGGCAGAGACCCTACCTGGAGTGCACAACGCCACCTACTGGAAGAGAAGAAAACAGATTCTAACAGTGCATTTTCCCCCTTCTTTCCTTTTTTCTTTTTATCTTTTTCTTCTCTATTTTCCTCTTTTTTACATTCCTTTCTCTCTATCTCTTTCCTCCCCCTTTTTTCTTCTTTTTTTACTTTTTCTTCCTCATTCTCTTCCTTTCTCAACCTCCCAAGTGTTACTATTTCTATTACGTATAATTTACTAAATGCAAATAGGTGTGTTTGTTTCTACTGCTTTTATAGTGTCCTCCCATATACTTAACTACTGTAAAATACCCTCCTGTCTATTTTCCTGCTAATAACTTCCTTCATTAGAGTTTCTCCTCCAAAGTAGCTAACATATATTTAACCCCATACCCTCTCATCTTTCCCCCTTAACATAATGTCCTATGCCTGACCCTCAGTTCTCTATACGTCACCAGAAACTATGCATTTTATGAACTAATGAATAAATTTTAAATTATAATTGAATCCAACATCTCTAAACATAGAGACTAATTATAAATGTATTAATAACAGAAACTAGCTCATAGATGCATAGTATAGTTGATATTGGGAACTGTTTACATTGTTCTCCCATCACAAAGGAGAGATCTCGGAACTATATGAGCGGCAATACAAATCTATAGGGGAAAAACAATAACACAAAAGTCCATACAGAGCTGGAAAGAAACGTGAGCAACATGAAAAGACAAGGAAAGAAAGGACCACAAACAATGCAGGGCAATTCAACAGTAGAGGATGTAACATCTATAGCAGAAAGAATGTCAGATAAAGATTTCAGGATATACATGGTTTCAGTATGATCTGGAGTCGATCAAGGAAGACATTAGACAGCAAATGCAGACAATGAAAGAGCCACTTTGACAATGAATATACATAAACAAGTCCAAGAAGCAAAAGATCAACTCTTACAGGGAGGAACGTAGGTTATTAGCAAAAAACCAAACAGAAAGCCTGGAAATGAAGGAAAATAATAAACCCAAATTAAAATCTCAAATGAGAGTATCACCAGAAGAGTAGAACAACTTTAGAAGACACGAACATCAGTCAACAAAGACAAAGTATATCATCTCGAAAGAGGTCAGACAGCACAAAGAGACTGATACAGAAATCATGAAGCAGAACATCCAAGAAAATATGGACGATAGCATAAAACGACCAAATTTAAGAGTTATTGGGATATGAGGGAAGGTATAGAGGTCCACACTCAAAGGAATGAGCAATCTGTTCAATGAAATAATTTAGGGAGAAAACTTTCTAGACATTGAAGAATGAAACAGAAAATCCAAAATTCTAGAAGCCTACAGGATGCCGAATGTACCAAACCCACCATGAGACCCACACCAGACACATTATAATGGAAAAATGGCCACATACAGAACAAGCGAGAGAATTTTAAAAAGCCACAAGAGCAAAGGACAGCAGATTACATTTAGGGGCTAAACCTATGAGGTTAACGGCTGATCTTGCCAACAAAGATCTGAAAGACTAGAAGATCCTGGAACAACATATTTCCAATGCTGAAAGATAATGTGTTCCCAACCAAGAATCGTGTATCCAGCAAAATTAAGCTTCAGGTTTGAAGATGAAATAAAAAACCTTTCATGATACACAAAAGTTCAAAAGAATTTTGCATCTAGAAAA